ATAATAATAATAATAATAATAATAATAATAATAATAATAATAATGCTGCTGCTGTTTAATATCTACATGAAACCGCTGGGAGAGGTCATTCGGAGGTTTAGGCTGAGGAGTCAGCAATATGCTGACAATACTCAGCTCTACCTCTCTTTTTCATCTAATCCAAGTTGAGGCTGTTTCTTTCCTGAGCTGGGGCCTGAGCTCGATGATGGGCTTGATGAGGGTCAATAAACTGAGGCTTAATCCTGGTAAGGTGGAGGTACTATTGGTAGCAGGGACCTCTGATAGGTTAGGAGGGTATTACTCTGTTCTGGATGGGGTCACACTTCCCTTAAAGGACAGGGTCCGCAGTCTGGGGGTGTTCCAAGACCCCAGTCTGTCCCTGGAATATCAAGTGGACTCAGTATCTAGGAGTGCCTTTTTCCAGCTGCGGTGGATTTTCCAGCTCCACTCCTACCTAGACAGTGGGAACTTGAAGATAGTTACCCAAAATCTTCCAAAATAGATTATCATAATGTGCTCTATGTGAGGCCCTTGGAAACTGTCCATCAGTTGCAATTGGTGCAGAATTGGGCTGCTTAGTTGGTAACTGGTACTTCCAGAGCAGTCCATATAACACCAGTTCTGAAAGAATATCACTGGCTACTAATTATGGGCCAGGGCCAATTCAGGGTGCTTGTCTTGACATATAAAGCCCTAAATGGCTTGGAGCCCAGCTATGTAAAGGACCGTCTGCACCCCTATGTACCTACCCACTTCCTTAGATCAGCTCAGGAGGCCCTTCTATGAGAACCACCCCTCAGGGAGATAAGAGGGGTGGCAACTAGGTGAAGGCCCTTTTTTGCTGCTGCTCTCTATCTTTGGAACTCCCTAGGGAAATTTGCCTGGCCCTGTCTTTATATTTTCCTTTTGGCTCCAGGTGAAGACATACCTTTTAAGGATTTTTTTTAACACTTAGCCTGAATGCTGTGGCCCTTTTTATATTGCTTGTGTAGATGTTTTAATTACAGAGTTTTAATTGATTTTAATGTGTTTCATTTTGTTAATATATTTTATGTATTGTAATACGCATAGGAAGGTCTCAGCAGTTATAGGTGTCCTACAAATATATGTATAAATAAAATAAGTCAAGAAGGGCAAGAATGCAGTGTGCCAAATTAGTCTTAAAGTGCCATTAGCTTTCAGCCTCAATTCACATGAGAATTTCCACCTCTGTCTTCCATGTAACCTTAGGCTACATATGACAGCTTTCCATAACCACAAAAAGAGAGGGAAAGGGAAAGATCACAGTGTGTTCTGCTGTTGGTCTTATGAAGGGCAGCTTTACTGATAGCAAAGTCAGAAAAAACTGTTAGTTCCGCATAACTAATGTAAAGGGGAACCACATATTTATAAGTAATATAGGTAGAAATGACAACATCTCAAGGTCTTTGTATAACTAATGCATACTGTAAACAAAGTTAGGTCAGAATGCTATAGTAGTATTTTTATTCCAACCGAAATGGAAAAGCACAAGCAGTTGAAGATAACACATAGTAATTTAATAGCTATTAATATGATTCACAGATGTAGAACATTTCTAGAAGAGTTTAATTGCTTTGAATGAGATTCAGAAAAGTAAATATGTCTAAAGTAGCAGCTTTTAATTACCTATTAGTTTCCTTTACAGTGTGCACTTTTGCATTTTGTCCTTAAATGCAATCCCCCTCACATGTTTTTCTACTAAAGGTATATTTTCTAATGGATAATTCTAAATATTAGTAGCTCAGTGGAATATTTGTGGAGAAGCTAAAATGAATAAACTGCTTTTCTTAGCAGTTCTAACTTTATAAATAAATAAAGCTTTTATTTTTTTTACTTCTGGCAGTACTTTCCAAATATTGAGAATTTCTAGACTTTTTTTAGACTGTTAATAGGTATAATTCAGTTCAAGAATGAAGGTAATATCCTATGCAAACAAATCTCCAGATGTATCTTTCCAATGGCTCACAGCTTCAGGAAACTTAATAGCAATGGTAACATCTGCCATCTCATCAGAACAGGGGTTTTATTTTTGTTGTTTTCTTTCTTTTTCATTTATGCTTGAATGCAGCTGAAACCTATACTTTCACTCAGCCAATGAAAGCACTCATTGAAGAAGGTGTCACTCCAAAATCTAAAATACAGTGGTACCTTGGCTCACGAACGCCTCAGTTCACAACCAAATCAGGTCGCGAACAGAAATTTTGGCAAAATTTTGCCTCAGGTCACGAACTCCGCATTGGGTGACAATCATGATCATGCCCATCTTCCCTGCATGATCATGCTTAGGTGGGGTGGGGAGAGATGGCCGCGCTCGCACTCACACCTGTCTTCCCTGCACAATCATGCTCGGGGGGAGGGGGAATGGCTGCGGTTGCACACGTGCAGGGAAGATGGGCGCAATCACAGTCGTGCTCGGGGGGAGATGGGCACGATTGTGCTTGCAGGGAGAGATAGCCGCGATCGCGCCCATCTTCCAAGCACAAACATGATTGCACTATTATCGTTTGGAGTCTGCCTCCAAACTATAACCTCTCCCCCACCTAGGTTAGTGTTCTTTACTGTACTGTACAGTACTTTGTTACTTTGTTGTTCTTTGTTACTTTGTTGTTCTTTGACACGTTTCAAATTTTTGTGATTAAAACAAAATTGTTACAGAATGGATTAACCTTATTTACATTGAACCTTATGGGGAAATTTGACTTGGGTCATGACCAGAGTCCTGGAACGGATTAAGTTCGTGAGCCGAAGTATGAAAAGCAAATCCATACAGGAGGAGAAACCAACATCATATTTCAGCAAGATATTTGTATATGATAATGTACTCAGCTTCACTTTGTTGCGATACTTCCCAAGCTTTATTTCCCATTTCCAAGAGCACCCTGATAAGATGAAAATAGGGTTAAATAGGTTTAGAGATTAAATAAGTTGAATTGTGGCCTACAACATTTGCTTTCTAACCCAGTGTTCTCAGTGGAGAGTTCAGTAATTTGTATTGTAGGTAGCAACAGCTATTCCAATGTTGACTATTTTTTCTTTGTTTTTCAGCTGTTCTCACAGATAGTTTCATGATCTTGTCATTTTCGGAGCAAAGCAAACTCTGTTTCATTCAGTTCACAAAGACGACAAGTTCACCTGATGTAAACAAAAAGCTTGAAAAACTCTCAGCCTTAGATTTTAAGGTATGCCTATCATTACAGCTTGCAAGTACCATAATTATGGGTGAATATATACCAAAAGTAGGTACTTAGGGATGACCTTAAGCTTCCAAATTCTGAGGATTTTGAGCATGCTATGCATGGCAGGAGGAAAACAAAACATCTAGATGGATGACTTTGTCTCTAGTTGCAGCACTGTAGACAGGGAGTGAAAAAGAGTGACTCCACCAGGATGTATAGTAAGTATCCTGACAGCACTCCAGCCTCCTTCCCTCCCTACCCCAAGGAACACCCTCTTTGCCTCTTCTTGAAGTTCATTCTTGTGATCTCGAAAAAGTAGGCAGCACAGTTGTTTCTGTATCATCTGTGAGGATGGAGAAACATGATCTGAGCAAAGAGCTCTTCTTCAGCCTTGGATATGGGACTTTTCCCCTCTCAGAATTGACTAGAAGGCCGTAGGATCATTCTGCCCATGTAGCTTACCTATCAATTTAGTAAAAGCTGATATGAAATTGGATTTCATGCAGATTGTTGAAACTATTGCAATACAATAGTATCATACGGAAGTTGCTACCCAATTATTATCAAATACAAGGTAAATTTAAGCAGGCTAGAGATGGATTAATTAGTGTGCTAAGAGGTCCAGAGCATAGAATGTCACCTAATGTCTAATTTGAAGTTATTTACAGCAATGTAGACATTTAAAATTAGGACAGGCTTACATGTGAAGCACATAATGGCTATTATCTTTGCATGGAGAAACATTTGGGAAGCCTAGACTAGTATTAAGAAGCCAGCTTTTCCTCCATACTTCATTCTGTACGTTTGCCTGCATGCTTGCAAAAGTGTGGTACTGATGTACTGTACAGATGTACCAAGCTTGAGGATATTTGTTAACATATTTTCTTTGTTATGTTCAGCTTGGAGAATTAATGTGTGTTTTCTGGTTAATATGTTCCAGAAATCATGAGTATTTCTGAGAGATTTTTAAAATCAGTTAAGCAGATACTGATACTTTATTTCATATTTGAACTGCCTTGAGTGCCAGTTTTTGGAGGAAAGGCAGGATAGCAAACAGTTTTTTAAATACCATATTTTTCGCTCTATAAGACGCACTTTTTTCCCCCTCAAAAGTAAGGGGAAATGTCTGTGCATCTTATAGAGCGAATGTGTGTGTGCCCGACGCCCAGGACACTGCTGGCCCGCCTGCACCACATGGCACCACTTGGCTGGCACACGCTCGACATGCGCTGCTCTGCCCCCGCCCCCCGGCACAGGTGAGAGCTGTGCCGCTCAGGGGGAGCGGTGCGGAGGAGGAGGAGCCGTGGCCTTTAACCCGCCGGCCACATGGAGACATGGACTGCTCATCCCCACCGCCCGGGAAGACCTGCCGCAGAGGAGGAGGAGCCGCGGGCTTTAACCCGCCGGCCGCACGGAGAGACGGACTGCTCACCTGCACTGCCCAGGAAGAACTGCCGCCGCCACCGCCGCGCCGCCCAGAAGACCACCACTGGCACGCTGCTGGCCCGGCTGCACCACATTGCACCACCTGGCCGGCACACGCTTGGCATGCCCTGCTCCGCCCCCCCCCCGGCGCAGGTGAGAGCTGTGCCGCTCAGGGGGAGCGGTGCGGAGGAGGAGGAGCCACAGGCTTTAACTTGCCAGCCGCACGGAGAGATGGACGGCTCAGGCCTTCCCACCGTCCGGGAAGACCTGCTGCCGCCACCGCGCCACCCGGAAGACTACCGCTGGCACGCTGCCGGCCCGGCTGCACCACACCTGGCCGGCATGCGCTCGGCGCGCCCCGCACTTCCCCCCTCCTCCGGCGCAGGTGAGAGCTGTTAATCACAGGTCGGTGTGTGTTTTCAAATGGCAACCCGTCTTTTAATGAAGCCCATGGGGAAGTGATGGGGAATGTGCCTGTGATTATCAGGAAGCTTTCCATGGATCCCTCCTCTAAAAACTAGGTGCGTCTTATGGTCAGGTGTGTCTTATAGAGCGAAAAATGCAGTAAATACATTTTAGTTCTGCTAATGAAATACTGAAAAAGGAAGGGAAAGATTTGCATATCAAGTACACAATGTATCAATTGCTAAAGTGCATGGTGCCTCAAAACTACCTGTAAAGGTAGCATCCTGTTATGCCCTTGTGCTCAGAGGAGTGACTGCTCATGCAAGGTTTCATGCTTCTCAAAATAATTGTTTCCTAAAAGCTATAGCGGGAGGGTTTTTCACACAGAGGGTCCAAGAGGCGACGAGGGGGGGAAACTTCCTTGACTTGGTCTTGACCAATAGAGAGGAACTGATAGATGAAGTACAGATTAGGGGAGCTCTGGATGTGAGTGATCACTCCATCCTTTGCTTTGAGATCAGGGGACTGAGGATGTGCAGCAGGTCGAGCACTAGAAGCTGGGACTTCAAGAGGGCCAACTTTGGCCAACTGAAGGCCAGACTGGGGAAAGTCTCCTGGGATAGGTTACAGGAAGGTAAGCGAGTTGAGGAGGGGTGGATGGCACTCAAAAGGGAGGTTTTGGAGGTGCAAGCCTTGACAATACCTCTAGATAGTAAGGTGGGGAGGCGGAGGAGAGCGCCGCCATGGATGCGAAAGGAGGTGGTTAGAGGGATTAGATGAAAGAGGAACCTCCGTAGGAAATGGGTACTGGGGCAAATAGACAAAAGGGTATACCGGGAGGAAGAGGCCCATTGTAGAAGGATTCTTCGCAAGGCTAAGGCTGATTACGAGCTGAGACTTGCCAAAAATATCAAGAGCAACAAAAAGGGCTTCTTTCAGCATGTAAATAGGAAGAGGAAGGGGAGACAAGTAGTGGGACCACTAAATAAGGAGGAATCCAGTGACTGATATGAGGGAACAGGCACAGATGCTAAATGACTATTAGATGAGGCTGGGGACTTAGGGGCACAGATTAGAGTCACCCCCCTTGAAGTCGAGGGGCTCCTCAGGGCCTGGTGCCTTTGTAATGTCCAATGCCCTGAG